TTACGATTAATTCAAAATCTAAACGAATTTTCTCACAATACTAACAAATACTATATTTTGTGTCAGAATATATTATAGTATAAAAATCAAATATTTTATTTTACAATTAAGAGACATAATTTGATATGAAAAATTAATTTTATTATTTTCAAGTAAAAAAAATAAACGAAATGTGTTGAATTAAACGATGTTATTTACAAGTACTGAAGTAGAATTGATTCAATATCATATCGTCGGCGGAGTACAACATTGCAAAATGTAAATTGAATTTCTTAAATACGTAAGGTTCGACCCAGATTCTTCTCAATAAATAATAAAATAGTTTGATACCACAGCCACCAAAATCAATACATTTGTTTATTGTTTCATTAAGATGATTGATGGTAATGATACTAAGGGCGGGGGTCTACAGGGAGGCAACTAAACTATTAGGCGATAAAAACTAAAATAACAAAAACGATTCTTAATTTTACGAACTGCTTCGTTAAATTAATTTTCTTACAGCGAATTTTTTCAACAGTCCGAGGTTTTTCTGTAAGTAATTCATTAATATATGTACGAGCATTTGAGAAGATACGTTTACTGTAGGTTTTGAGTATTGAAACTCGTTTAATTCAAAAGTTAAATTTTACTTGATTTACTATCAAACCACGCCTTCCAATACTAAATTAAATCATCTCATTAAATTATATCTATTTTCGACGCCATGATTATGTTCTCTCGATATATTGACCAAATAAATAGGTTCTGTATTTAATTTAAAAAGGTGGCACAATGTTGTTTCTTCGCGGCGTCGATACTAGTGTTGTAACAAGATGCATCACGATATTAATCAATAATATTCGAATAATAATAATTTTCAGATTAATATCCAATGATTAAAATCGATATTTTACTAAAGCCATAATTAAATTTTTCAATACCTGTAATATTTTATTTGACAAACAATGTTGCGTTTCTCGACCTGATTCTACTGAAACTTGAATTATAATTTATGGCATTTTTATGGTATTTTCTTGGTACAAAATTGGTCACATTTACTATTAGCATTTTTAAGACAGCTCTTGTTACATAGTTTTTGTACTTTATTTTTTGTACCATATTATTATAATTTTATCATCATATAGTATTTAGTAGAATAAAAAGCTTTTTTATTGTTATTAGTGTTCTTACAATTCATTGTTTTTTTTTCAAAGGATATCATTTAATAAAAAAAAGTTTTACTGATTTAACTGTCAAATTATAAGTAATCTAATATATAATATTATTTTTATCATGATATGATGTTTGGTATTAATTTGTTGAGCACTTTCATAGATACAGACAAATGTTTAAATTTTTTAAATGTAATCCTAAATTACAACAAGGAAGTGAACATTAAATAATCACAAAGACAAGATAATTCCGTCGTTAGCATACAACAAATGTTCAAACATACATTTCGGTTGTAATGAACTTTAAGAAGTGTGTGGTTTATAGTTAAGGCTCCATTCAAATATACAAAACAATTCTTGATATACCTTATCGTAGTACGACTATGACATTTAAACGTACATTGTTTGTTCTAAATGAAATCTGATCAAACATTTGAAATGACGCCACAACATACATCAAGCGTTGTTTATAATATTTTATAATTAGAATAATTATTCATGATTATGAAATTCTTATCAAAATATTAGCTTACATAGATATTATTTGCTGTTACATGTCACATTATTGTATTAGTCTTGATTTTTCAATCGTCAGATGTAGTTTTTAATAGGATAATTCTACAACTTAAAAAATCACAGTTGTGTAAATAAAGTAATTTAAATATTTCAATTTTTATTTGGTCATGTTGTAATTTGCTTGATGGATAACATTTATCTGATGTTTAAAAAATCAGCGGTTCGTATAAAAAGCATTGACTTCAACTTATGAAAAAAACATTAAATAAAAATATTATCTACCCTGAATACATTTCTATGGATAATTACATAAGACTTGCTTAGTAAGACGTTTAGTTTTTGCATTCATATTTATGATGCAAAAACAAATTACAAAATTCTCAGAATAAACATAATTAGTTTTAAATTATTATAAGTACATTCTAATATAATATCTAATTATTGTTTTATTTTCGATATGGTAGTAGTAATAATAATGATGTCCAAGGAAAATAAATCGCTTGATTTGAATTTCACGTTTACAATTTACGAGAAGTAAAAAAATATATTTACAAATTGTATAAAAAATAACTTAAAATCTACATTAATTGAACACCTACAAATTGTTAAATTACTCAAGACAAGTCATTGCTTGTCAAAGCAAAAGTTTTCGTTGGAGTGCAATCATCATAATATGCTATGACTGTTGGAATTGCCTTTACCCATAATTCGTGACAACTTAACAAAAATTCGCCTTCTTTATTACAAAATGTACATTTTATTAAAACAATTTTAAATGTTAGCTTGCTTTTGTGAAATTCATTTTAGACTACAGACTATTTCTTTTCTAATGGCAACGCTGCTCATCACTAAGCAATTTTTGTGTATTTTTGTACTAAATGAATAAGATAAAAATATTAAAGTTTGCTCTGAATGTCATTTTCACGTGATGAAGATGTGGAAAATTTTTTGGTAATGTCCAATCTTATAGATAGACCGCAATTAAGACAAATGTTAAAAAAATATTTTTCTAATTTAGAATATTAGTTAATACATTGATATTCGTATTTTAATGTGTCAAAGAGTGCGGCAATAATTTGCCGAAGCGAAAATTAACTACTGATTTAAATTGACTGGGAACAAATAAACTAAAACGAATAAGACCACACGTATACAACTTTCTGACAGTATTCGTATGACGTGTTTAAAAAGCTTCGATAACTCTTTATGAAGCGTTTGTGTTTTGTAAATGAATATTAAGAGGAAATATTGTGGACTTCGTGGGACCATTTCGTTAAAGAGCAATACTAGGGGTACACTTCCTCGAGACCGTTGACCAGCGCGTCGCTTTAACGTTTGTGTTCCATTCCATGATATTTAACCCTTTGAGCGCTAACCGTCGATAGATCGACTCTCTATTAATGCATATAAAGTGCTGAGCGTCGCAATACCGACTATTTGCGCAGTTTGGTTATAGGTATTAAGTATCAATATGTATGTACGGACGTGACTTAGCGCGAGCATTCGTGACGTTTTAATAAGTTTTACAAATTTATTAGACATTTATAAATAACCGGTTAAAATTATTTTGCTGCGAATTTCGCATCGATTTTCGTTTTTTTTTTAAGTTAAACTTTTTTCAAGGGTTTTTTTCAGAAATCCTTTAGCAATTTCTACAAATATTCGTGAAAATAAGCTCAGCAGTAATAGGTTTAAAATTTAGAATGTTATTCTATTCTCTTTATTATCTTTGTTTTCAGAAACACCCCGTATTTTGCTAATTTGTACGAATAATCTCACCGCACGGCACACTCCTGGTATCAAGTAGTCGCTGGAGCCCATTGACATCATAACATGAATGCCATCGTCCACCTCCTTGAAACATGAAGTTAAAGTTTCGCTTATATTATTTAAGGGCTCACCCTTCAAAATGAAACGCACGATTGCTTCGCGGCGTTAAGGAGCAGTGTGTTTTGTGCGAGTTCTTTAACTTCTCGATCGCGTAAAAGTTAACTCAAATTTGTATGGAGTTGGAACAGCGCCCCTAACAGCAAACGAAGGGAAACTGTTCCAACTCCAAGCATACAGAATGATGGTACGTACCCGTGTGCGCTTACAATACGCCCTACAACGGACTACTAATCATATTAATTTTAAAACATGGTCTAACATTTTCAAAATGTAATAAATACACTAAAAAGTGTGTTCAAGATACCGAAAATAAAATTTCAAATATATGATTTAAGCAAATCGATAAACTGACATTCGATATCGATAGTTTGTGAGCACTTTTAATATCAAGTTACAGCAGCACAAAATAGTGAGGGCGCCTCGGGTCGGTCTCAGGAAAGACATAATGTACTTGGATCGATAGCGTGACGTCATTAATGTCAAACGTCACCTTCGAGAACTTTTTAGCGGGATTTTCAAAGAAGCACGTTTTTTATTTTTTGTTTACAATTTTTTTTTTTTTGTTAGCATTTATTTAATTTTATTGAAATACCTATATGTAAATTTTGAACAATTTTGTTTATTTTTTAAGATTTATAAACATTCTGATTTACTATATGATTTTATATTAATAAGATTTTGTTTTGTAACGAACTTTAATTAGAATTAGTCGAAGTTTAATGTTTGATTTTATGTATGATTATACAAAAACAATGAAATATAAATTGGAAATGATGAGACAGACGCCTTATGGTGTTTTATAAAAAATATTTCAACTACATTTACGTTGTAATTTAGAACAAAGAATACTTAAAGTTTAATTTTAGACTTTAACTGACACAAGAAACATACAATGATAAATTATAATTTTTACAGTTAATCTTTTAATATTTCTACATTTCAATGTCGATTAATGACAACTTACAACTTACATTCATTTAACAAATTCAACTTACATTCATTTATTATTATCACTAATAAATAAATTAATATTGCGTAATTCTACTACGCACCTACTGAATGTGTAAAATGGTAAAAAAAAACGATACAATACCTACGTTAACAAATCGCTACATAGAATAATATTGAAACGTCAGAAATTGAAATCTAGTTTACGCTTATCGCTATAAAGGTCTACAAATAAAAAATTTGTAGAATAAAAAAATAAAAGGAAAAATGATTTTCCGTCTGATGGCCGCGCGTGTCTAGTTCAGCGGTCGGGGAACTTTCTTAATTATTACCCCAAAATATTTTTGTGTAAGTTGATATTACACTATGGCTAAGAACAAAAAAGAACCAAATCGCTTCTTTTTAGTAGCTTTCATATTATAGCCCCCATGATAATTTTGAAAAGAAAACAATAACTAAAAATTTAACGATTCTAAAGAAGTTTCACTTGAATATAATATACTTTTTACTCACAAAAGTTTCATTTTTACCCCTCAAAATGTCATTTTACCCCATTTGGGGTAATTTACCCCGGTTCCCCGACCGCTGGTCTAGTGGGTCGGTCTAGTTGGTGCTAGGGCTGTCGGTGCCGCTGCCGCTGTTCTCTGCGGCGTGGGCGAGCACGGCCCTGGCGCCCTTGTTCTTCTTGGCCGACTTGCTGAGCGTGGCCACCTCCTTCAACAGGTTCTGTATCTTTGTGTTCATCATGTTGAACTTTGTCTCGTTTTGACGCTCTTTATTTTTCATGTCATTGCGCATCTCGGTCGTATTGTTTAGGTGTTGTGCTTTTAGTTCAGTTATCTGAAATGATTTTTATTTGATTTTTTTATACGTTTTCAGTGTGAGCTGCGCTGTCTTTGCCGGCCTTGCGGCCTTAAGCGGCGCGCCACACCGAGTGGCCGATATGCGATCTTCCGTCCGTCGGCGGCTTAGAAGTCGACTTAGAACTACTTGCGTAAATGATATTATTATCATAACGTACCTTTCGATGCAAAGTGTTCGTTCGGGGCTCACGGGTCGCGTATCGTCCACCAGCCGTGGCGCTCGGCTTATTTTAATCATTACATCTAACACGATTACTTATATGATTTTAATACAAAAAAAGATGTGTGGTGTCGTGGGACACCGGATAGGAACGAAGTTCCTTATTATAAAAATATTAATTTTAAGTTCTATTCAAGGTATAAATAAAATAAAACTGGAAGTTTCGCAACAACTCGCGGTCATTCAGTAACGTGCGAACTTATTGTGGTACACTTCATTCACGGTTGTTTGCATAAGATTTAGTGTATTGCGCAAACGAACGCTCTGAGATCGTGGACAATGAATGATAAAAAAATATGTTATTTTTTGTACGTTATTACAAAGTTAAGTAGTACACTGTGTGCATTACTAATAAAAATCTTACGTTACGGACGTTTTTTCCCGGTTAGGGTACCCCTTCGCATCGTCCCATGAGGAACGTTGTTAAAAAAAACCTGTAAAACTTCACTTGTTCGCACTCTGTCTTTATCGTTTAACTCGCGCTGTTAAAACCATATAACTTAAATCGCTCGCGACTTAATAACGAAGAAAGAGGAAAATGCATGAAATTCAAATGTTAAGTCAAAATATGTTTCGCCGCTCGAAAAAATCGAAACCGGAAAAAGCATTGCGTTTCGCATTCCACGCACCGCACGCACTCACACCCCTCTCATACACAACTATAAAGCGCCCTGTAAACGATCAAATTGTTTGTCAAATTATTTGACAGTATGCAGCTTTGTTTGACACGTTTGTCAAACAGTCTACGGGTTTGTCGTGTTTGATGGAAATCTTGATTGACGGCGTGTTTGACAAACAAGTTTGAACGTGTATGGCACTGTTTGTCAAAAAAGATCTCAGTCGTTGCTCGACACGACGTCTCGTTACGGCAAGGAGAAAACCGAATCCACGGGCAAGTTAACAAACTTGTTTGATCGTTTAAGCTATTGTTTGATGAAAACGTAAAGTTTGACAAACAAATTTGATCGTATACAGGGCGCTTAAGGCGACAAATTAAAACGACGTACCTGACGATCCTTCGCCATTAGCTCCATGTCCTTTTGTTGAACTTTCTTTTGTAAACTAGCGATAGTTTCTTTAAGTTGCGTCATCGCCACGACGTGGTCTGAGCTGTTTGGATCCAATTCACCTGTTCAATTTTAAAAAAAATATTTAGTTGATTAGTTATTATTATAGCAACGATTTAACGTTTAAGGCGATTTCGATTCAACATGAAAACCTTGGTTTGAGCAAATTTAATTCTGATATAAACTTTCTAATGTAGACTTAGCGGCGAAGCTCATGATAAACTTTGTACACTATCGTTTGTAAAATCGATTAAATAAACAATGTGAAAAAAGAAAAGATTTTTCAATATAATCGATTTTTTTGGATCAGACCCAAACTTACAAATGTATGTTCTAACCTAAAAATCTATAAAGCTGTATTTAACAAACTATAAGTACATTCACTAATGTGTACCTAAAGGAACTGAGTACTGACTTGGTGGCACGGCGCGTCGGACTGCTGAGCCGAACACGTGTGTCTGTTATGTCGGTTTTTAATATGTATTATTTAATAAATATTATTAGGTACGTATCTCAGTAATATATTTACTGGTAGCAGGACCTCTTGTGAGTCCGCACGAGTAGGTACCACCACCCCGCCTATTTCTGCCGTGAAGCAGTAATGCGTTTCGGTTTGGAGGGTGGGGCAGCCGTTGTAACTATACTGAGACCTTAGAACTCATATCTCAAGGTGGGTGGCAGCATTTACGTTGTAGATGTCGTGGGCTCCAGTAACCACTTAACACCAGATGGGCTGTGAGCTCGTCCACACATCTAAGCAATAAGAAAAAAAATGTATGTATGTATTGGGAACCTTGTAATGGATTCAATTTCGATTTTTTCTCGAGAGGCTGCGAATCCAGCGACAAATCTCCAGAGTTCATCGACTTCATCATGTCGGACTTGCGTTTATCTTTGTGGCCATGTTTGGATCTGTGAACAATTACAAAAAGTCTTGACATTTACATATTATATATATTTTTTTACATTAACATTTACAAAAAAGAAAAAAAACTATAAGCATTCGAATCAATGGTAATGCTAGTTAAAATATCTAACCCAGAGGTATCAGCAATACTCAAAGCAATAACCAACCTCTGCTTTGTAGAGTCACAATTTTTAATGAGGCGTGAAGAGGCAAGTCTCATTATTCATAGCTCCAACGATTACCTTGCCAATTCGATTCATATCGATTTGTATCCCAATGCTACAGGACGTTTTGGCACGAAATCACCGACCACCTTGTGTTAAGTCGTTTACCGGGTATCGTCGATATCACGACATGACACCTTGAGACATGAGGTCTATGTCTCAATTGTATTGTAGAACCGCTTTACCGCCCCTCAAGCCGAAACAGGCAGGATGATGATGCACAGGCGTGCGGGATTACAAAGCTGCACCCTAATAGCAGTTCAAAAGTTTGCATCATGCGTTTAAATCCCTCATCGCATTCAATGTAATATCTTCTTCATTAGTCCCAAATAGATTAACTCACAGATACAGCCCATTGAGTTTCTGAATGGGTTTCGATTGATAAAGGAAAAAAAAAGTTTTAAAGTACATCGCGCAACACCCTGTACACGATATCAACGCGCAGCTTGTTATTTCAGGATTATACAGCGTTAGTTGAACCTTGCGGAACACCGGATTTAAATATAAAGGCATATTCACCTTCGATCAATAGTAGTACTATTATTGATCGAAGATGTTCACAATATACGATCCGTTGATAAATACTACATATTTTGCTCTCGACTGACAATGAAAACTTACTTGTGAGACCTGTGCTTGTGTTTATCAACAGACGATAACTGCTGCTTTGTTCGAGCCAGCGCCCTTTTGAGTGACTGAGTGCAGAGCCAGCAGAGTAATTTCCCATCAACCTGCAATAAAGATTAGTGGTATCTTTTGTATTTTATATAGTTTGGGCAGACTATTAATTGATGTATTGAGTGTTTAAGGTTTTCCCCACTTTAAATATCGAGGAGAGTAAGGAGGATAAGTATGTATTGTTTTTATTTAATTATTAGTGCTTAGATGGGTGAACGACCTCACGGCCGGTGTTAAGGGGTTACTGGAGCCCATATGTACACAGTAAGTGTTGCCATTCACCTTGAGTTACGAGTTCTAAGTCTCAGTTTTATTACAGTACAACGGCTGCTCCACCTTTCTATCCGAAACGCATTACGTTTTCGGCAGAAATAGGCAAGGTGGGGCTCACAAGATACCCTACCATCAGTAATTATTTAAATTATAATATTAGCGGGTTTTTTTATTATATCATGTTACACTTTCAGTGTGGAAGTCAATCGTGAACATTTTTTAAGTGCGTATTTCATTAGAATAGTGGTGCATGCCAGCGGGATTTGAACACGATTTTTTTTATGTTTGGAAGATCACGGTTGGCCCGGAGGCCTTTCCAGTTCTACCAGCAGGGTGAACTACTACCTGGCGAGCAAGGGCTCAACCAGGAGGGTGGGATTTGCTAACAGTTACCCGAGCGCCTCTAAAGGACACCTAACAACTCAAGAGCAGCTGCTTCGCGAATGATCTACTACCGGATCGGAATCGCGACCCGCTGAGAAGATCCGGCGGCATCGCTAGATACGAATGCATCGGGCCTATTATACCGCAGGCCACGACGGCTTCGAAACCTAACCTTCTTCGGGTATTAGTGTTCCATCATCCTCGTCTCATTTTCTATTTCCGTATCAGTTTCTTCTCCTACTTTTTATATTTTATACAGAAAGTGATGTGTAATTTCACCTGGGTTAATACCACCAACATGTCTATTGGTCAGATATTTCTCCGTAAAAACGTATGGACATTCGGGTTCAAAGGGTAAGCTTCAAAAGAAATAATTTAACATGGTGTGAGCGGCTGCATTGATGATGTAATTAATGTCTGTTGATTTTGGGAGGAAATTACGAGGTACTTCATTTGAAGTAAGTATAAGTGATAATTTTACCTTTTTACTGTCATCATGTCGGTCGAAAGCACATCTTTGCTTGCATTGTTCACATGTAACTGCCGGTCCATATTTACGTTCTGAATTGGTACACCGCTGGCATTTGTTTCCTGGGTAGTATAATTTACTACATTAATGCGAAAATGTCTATACTATAGTATTATTATTTATAGTGTACAATAAATGAAAGGAATAAAATTTGCAACTATAATACGAACGGTTCCACAGATGTATACAAAACAAAAATCACGTTTTTTTATTGCTTAGATGGGTAGACGAGCTCACAGCCCACCTGGTGTTAAGTGGTTACTGGAGCCCATAGATATCCACAACGTAAATGCGCCACCCGCCTTGAGATATAAGTTCTAAGGTCTCAAGTATAGTTACAACGGCTGCCCCACCCTTCAAACCGAAACGCATAACTGATTCACGGCAGAAATAGGCAGGGTGGTGGTACCTACCCGTGAGGAGTCACAAGAGGTCCTACCGCCAGTAATTACGCAAATTATAATTTTGCGGGTTTGATTTTTATTACACGATGTTATTCCTTCACCGTGGAAGTCAATCGTGAACATTTGTTGAGTACGTATTTCATTAGAAAAATTGGTACCCGCCTGGGATTCGAGCACCGGTGCATCGCTCAACATGAATGCACTGGACGTCTTATACTTTAGGCCATGAAAACTTCAACATTCGTGTACTACATGTGCTAACTTGAAAAGTTCCTTCATTGAATCATTTTAGGTTTTATTTCCTATCGAATTCTATATCGTATCCCCCTGGTAAAAATGTTTCAAAAAGACCTTTAGAAGTTTGACGTTGCGCCTGGCATTACCAATGTTCAAACACGACAACGAGATATTATGATACTAATGCAAGTAAGTTAATGTACATCAGGATTTCGTTCAAAAACAAGAGAATTAATTTTCTAGATCGCCAAAGAGAGAGATCAATTCAAAGTGACCTAGAAAGTGCTACTTTTCATAAAATTCTTTTTTTTACTTTACCAAAGGCTAAATGCTACATCAAAAATGTTAACTCACCTATAAACGCTGCAATAATATTACAATATTCACAGGCAGTAGGCTTTCCATATGATTTGACGTTAGCTTCACATTTCTTGCATATTGACGACGTGTTCGATTTACTGCAAAAAATAATATTTGTGTTTAGTTAAGAACACGACGCAGCCCTGTTTCGTTGTATATACTAAAACCGAAACAGGAAGTTTTTATCTCGAGCATAGGCACTACATAGTAACTTTATTATAAATAGACCGTTATGTGGTTCAATTTCTGTATTCAACTTGTACGGCATATTATGACCATTTACTGGCTTCGTAAATGAAGCGTTTATAATAGCTTGAACAATGGGCAGCGGAACTTTTCAACTCATGTTTCGCTACAATATTACGGCACGTCCGTTACGTGGCTGTGCTTCTGTTTTCTACAAATTTGACCCGTCTGCCTATTAAGATAAGAGAATAAGGGGAAGGCATATCCAACCCAGGCGACAAGGCAACGCAAAACCACCGTCGCCCGAAACTTGTATTGCCAGATCCCCTTTTTTTTCCACAGGAGAAAATCGCCGGATCCCCACACGCGCGGCAGGTGGGGTATGTGGGAGTTGAACCTCACTAAAAAATCCTGCCGCTCACAACCGGCGCCCTACCTCGGACCGGGCCGGAGCCCAGTCGGGGCTATTGAAACGGCGGGACAGGGTTGACGCAGAGCACATTACATCCATCCTACTGTCCCACGGACGCCGGACCGGTGGCCGCCAGCGACACGACCACCGGTTCCCTCGTTCAGCGGGCCGAGAGCCCGCTTTGATGGTGCCGCGTTACACCTTCCCCCAGAGCGGTCGGGGGAACGCGGTCTACCATCACCCGGCTTCCTATTGCGGGTGAGCGTGCAAAGCACGCCACCCCACGTCTGGGTCTCTCCCCGCACAAAACGGGTGGGACCCCTAGCTCTTAGGGGGCCAGGTCACGGATACGACCCCGGTCCCGACCCCCTGCCCGGCGGCGGCGGATTTCTGCGTAGTGAGGAGAGCTTTCCCTCACTCGCCCCGCCGCCTCCTTCTGCGAGATGATGCACTCGCAGAAGTCGAGCATAGCCTTCCATGACTCATCGCTGCCAAGCATCGACGCCACGACGCCAGGCAGCGACAAGTCAGGTCCTATCTTTGCGACCAGGACACGGCACTGCACCTCCCAAGCGGGGCAGACAGCGAGCGTATGCTCCGCCGTGTCCAGGTCGTGTCCACAATGGTGACACCTCGTCGTCGGCTCAGCCCCTATCCGGCGCAGGTACTTCCCGAAGCATCCGTGCCCGGTCAGCACCTGCACCAGACGAAAGGTGAGACGTCCTTCGCCACGATACACCCAGTCATCAAAGATCGGGTAAACCGCCTCGACGGTCCGTAGCCCCCACGTGGGGTTGGCCAATCGCCTCGACCACGACTCGAGCACGGACCGCCGAGAATGGGCCTTCCGGGCCCGCAGCTCACTTTCGGGGAGACGCGCCACGCCCCGAGCACGAAGCTCGCTGCGCCACCGATTGTCGGCAGCGAGCTACTCCGCCTCCAGCTCTGCCAGATCCCCTGGATCAAATTTGGGCGATTTTAAGCTCTTCAAGCACCGTTGGTAGATTCTGTGAAGCATTGCTCTTGCTCTAGCTAGTGTTAGCAAATTCTCTCAGGTTGTGACCGGGAGCTCATAAACGCGTCCGCGCGTAGCTGGAATAGCCCCTTAGGCTACCAGCGAATAGTTAGAAAAAAAAATGGGAAAGTTATGGATGTATACGAATACATTGAATTATTAAATTGGGACAAAATTATAATACGACTATTATAAGTGTGATCGTCAACTACCAGTAGGTGTTAGTTGACAATCACAGGTAAAATACTCATATAATGTGCTTTCTCTGGCGAATCTTTTAGTCACTTTTACGGCACCCACGAAAAGAAAAACGGTGGTGCTATTCTAGGCCAACACCGCATAGTCGAAAAATCTGCAGATTTTTTATTATTTAAAACACCTTTGGACTTACTGATTAAGTCTTTTTAAATGAAATAAAAAAAAATAAACTACTTCAACGCCATTAAATCTTGAAACAATACGTAATATTTTTGGATGTTTGACGTAATCATTGAACCAAGTAGTTCGATTGAAAAAAACACTGATAAATATTAGCTACATACAATATTCCTTAGTAGCATTTTTGCTAATTGGTTTATTTTGGCAAAAAAATTGATTGCTTTGTCAACTCAAATATTGCAAAGGAGCGCTCATTAGACCTTACTTCAGCAATTCAGATAGAAGATATAAAGGCAATATGTCAATTGCCTTACGTGTATAAAGGCAATATGTCAATTGCCTAATTAGAACTTACGTGGTATATATCACGTTCATCAGCACGTTTCAATCAGACAAGGTTTAGAATAAATTAAGAAATTCCCAGAATATTAGATTATGGTCTTTGAATTTGAAATTGCCTGCCACGCTGATTTCAATGAAGAAAAACCACAGAGGCTTTAAGCGAAAGTAATGAGATAGTACTTTGCATGTAGAGCGAGTTTACCATGGATGTGAATAACTTTACAAGAGGGCTTATGTACTTAACTCTTTCGTATCTCCGCTCCATTAGTAAACAAGTAGTAGTAAGACAACACTAAAAGGCTCAAGGTAACTTCCCTATCGTGGCCACCGCGCGCGCGACTGCTGCGTAGCAGTCACCGTCGACTTCCTACGTCCTGATGATTCCACATAATCCACTCTCGGTGCTGTTAGACGCTACTCGTTTTAACACTAGCAACAGCCAATGCACAGATCACCGTACTCGTGATACTTAGCTCACACACACAACCCGCTGAATCGAAATTTGGCATACTTATCAAGAACCGATGACAATTCAATATTTTAAGCTTTCAGACCTGGTATTCTTACTTGTATGATCAGGATTAGCGATTTTTTGTTGGGACTAGCTCTCAATTTTAACAGATCTTCCACTATATTAACAAAGCCTAATTCAACCGCTGTTCTTTTTTATTATTGTTCAAATTAATAGATTATTATTGACAAGTTGATATTTAATTGTAGCACCATATGTAATAAATAATAGTTTTAAAAAACTAAATACACGCTTTTATAGCAAATCCAACTAAAAAGTTAAATATAAATAATAGTTTAAAAGAACTAAAAATCGTATAGGTATCGTTAATATATAGGCTAAATAGTAGCGGCAAGAGAACAGAGTCTTACGGGACTCCGACCGAGATTTGTCGCGGGACAAGAAGGCTCGAATTGTCAGCATGAGACTATCTATCTGGCACTCCCATGGTGTACAGTTTATAAATGAAACCGTTGTGCCAAACTTAGTCCAACGCCTTCGACGAAGGCCTCTTCTTCGGCGGGGACGGGTACTATTGTACCTAACGTATACCTAACGTATACTGATCGTACACACTGACTACACACACCGAATATGTTTTCTTCGTCAATTAAGCACTGTCCCTGTGATATTGCTTTCGTTAAATCATCTTTGGTGCGTAATTAATAATCAGTATCTTCACGATAAATCTCTTTTAGCCCGGAGCAGGTCAAGTTATTGATAGTGACAAATTGCGTCACTATGATCCCACAGATGCATACATTTCTAAGTTTAATGCACGAAAGTTTATCTAAAACCTTAATAAGTGCGCGCTCCCTTGGTACTTGTTCGTGAGTGTTCGCATGATGTCAAAAAAGAAACCCTAATAACAGCTACTCTTATGAAACTTATATTGAGTGGAATAGCCCCTTAAACATGGAATGGTAGAGTTAACATTGTTATTTGTATTTTGACATTCAACAAGTGTGTCATACTGACATCTAAGTTGAAATAAATGAATTTGAATTGAATTTGAACCAACGAATAGGTAAATAAAAAAAATAAAAAAAACTTATATTCAACACGACATCAGTTTCGCACGGGTGCATTTATAAAATGTTATTGAATTATTATAATTCCAATTGGAGTAGGTAGTGTACAACTAATAAATAAACAGAAGTAAATTTAAAGATAGGTCTTTATGCTACCGGTCCCCGAAAAATACACGAGAAAATCACTGCGACCATTGAGTCGTTATTTGAGCGTGTTAAATGAAATATCGGTCGTGTTTGAAGGACCGCTGACTTTGTAATAGAGAAGAAATTTTAGGACGCACGTCATAATAATGTGAATTTGCAAAAACGCTTGAACCTATTAGTTTAAAAAAAAAATTATTGCCCTTGTAGGCGGACGAGCATACGGCCCACCTGATGGTGAGTGGTTACCGTCGCCCATGGACTTCAGCAATGCCAGGGGCAGAGCCAAGCCGCTGCCTACCGCTTAATACTCTCCACAAGCCTCGTTTGAAGAAGGACATGTCATAGCGCTCGGGAAACACCGTGGAGGGGATCTCATTCCATAGTCGGATGGTACGTGGCAAAAAAGATCTCTGGAAACGCACTATCGATGAACGCAGCGGTTCCAGGTAATATGGATGAACTCTGCTCCAATGGCGGGGGGTGCGATGATAAAAAGAAGATGAGGGATCATCTCAAACAATCCTCAGAGCACTCCCCATGGAACATAAGGTATAAAATACAGAGGGAACCGAAGTTCCTGCGCAGACCCAGAGGTTCCAAACGATCTGTGAGAATGGGATTATCGACAATTCGAACGGCCCTCTTCTGTATGGATTCAAATGGAAGAATGTATTTGGGAGGCCCGGCCCAGAGATGGGAGCAGTACTCCACGCGAGGCCGGACTTGTGCATGATAAAGCAAAAGTCTTTGTCCAGGCGTGAAGTACCGCTTCGCTCTGTTGAGGACTCCCAGCATTTTGGACGCCAACTTAGCTTTGCTTTCCAAATGACTCCGAAATTGGACATCGCTCGAAATGTCAACCCCAAGTATCCCGATATTCTCGGAATGTTGCAGGGATACTCCTTGGAATTGCGGCGCCGTAACAAAGAGATCCTTCTTCGCAGTGAACGCGCAAACTTATGTCTTTAACGGGTTGAATTGAACCAAGTTCAATTCACCTCATTCGGAGACTATTCAGACACAAGTTTTGATCGTCTCTCTTGCACCACGCTCCGAGAGAGACTCTGATGGCCGAT